TTGTCTCATTGGCCATTATACCACATCTTCTTATTTTTATATTTGTAAATTTTCCTGCGATTTCTGCACGCAAGATAAATGGCGGCATTTTAAAACAAAGAAAACTAGTAGTCTTTTAGCGATCTGCATACATTTTTTTTAATAATATCCTGTATATGTGTATTTTATTGGTTACATCTTCTGACATCAGACTCGGACTTCTCTTGAACTGAATTTTAATGTGCGTATTGTTATGCGTTTACTTTTCTACATTGGCTAGAGGTATAGGGGGAGGGTTGAGATCTCATAAACATGTTTAACCCCGCCGCATTTTTGCGCCTGTCCCAAGTCAGGAGCCTCTAGCCTTTGTTAGTCTTGTATTATTTTTAATTTTAGTTTCTTGTGTACAATTTGGAGTTTAGTATGGCGTTCATTATCACTGAACTAGTATATATATTTGTTTAGGGGCCAGCTGAAGGACGCCTCCGGGTGCGGAAATTTCTCGCTGCATTGAAGACCTGTTGGTGGCCTTCTGCTGTTGTCTGTTCTGTGGTCGGGTTGTTGTCTCTTTGACACATTCCCCATTTCCATTCTCAATTTTATCATCTTCACAAGCTCTCAGTTACATTTTAATGAATTCGTACTTTGATTTGTTTTATTAAGATATAAAGCGGACAGTAGATTTAACAGATTTTGCATTGATGAGAAGTTTTTATTACCTCATGTTGCCATCTTAAAGCAAACAAATCGTATTGGGACAATTATCTCTGATATGCCAAAATACGGAACAATTAAAATATAATCATTGGAACTCTTTCTTACTAATTTTTTCATAATTATTTGATCAAAATCAGATTTTATACAAATAATAACGTTACAATTTTCTTCACTGTCCTTGACTTGACTTTCATGACATACGACAAATTTACTAATCTTTATATATATCCAATTTACCAACAAAAAGATTGATAAAATAGGAAACTAATTGCTGTTTATTTTGGTGTAGAATGATAGATTATAATAAAGTAGTGTGAATAATCAAAACTTTTCGCCTTCAGCGAAAAATATTCAGATTATTGATATTCATACGGAGCCCTTTTGATCTCATAATAAAAATAAAGAGTTGTGGTTTTTAAAGTTAAGCGTTGGTGATGTAAAATCTATCGCTGGATTTAAAGTCAACAGCTAGAGATATAAAGTCTAGCATTGGAGATTTATATCTACAGCGCTGGACTTAAAATTTACATCGCTAGACTTTACATTTATAGCGCTAGACGTTAAATCTACATCGCTAGACTTTACATCTACAGCGCTGGACTTTACATCTCCAGTCCTGGACTTTACATCTTGAGCGCTAGAACTTTGAAAAGCCACAACTCTTTATCTATATATGAGACCAACCGGGCTCCGCATATTCATGACTGAACATAAATCTAAAAAATACCATGAATAGCCATTTGATATACAAGCAGCTGAAAAACGGTTTACACCAGCAATCCTTACAGACAGTAAGGAAAAAGAATTTAGAACAAAACGATTAAAATTTGACACATGCGATCTAACTATTTATAATTTATTAAACTCGGATCTGAAACAGATTATTCAGTACAAACATTAGGTAATATTTCAAGAAGTTACTGATCTTTTAAAGAAATATTCTGGATATTAACTAACTTTTCACGAAGTTTCATCTTATTCATTATCTCTTTGGAATTAATATTATATACATCCTGCTGTAGAACAATTTAAATCTGATGATGACAGAAAACCTAAAACATAATAAATTGTACGAGGACAAGTTCAGAGGGTAACAATTGGTCTCCAACTTACCACATATGTGTTTTTGTTTTACGTGTGAGTAGTTGTCTCGTTGTCGTATATCACATTTCTCCCTTCATTCATACGTCAGGCTCTAGTCAGGATGCGAGGAACTACAGGTCACCTTACGGTCTTCATCAATGAGCAAAAACCATACCGTTTAGTAAGCTATAAGTATAGTAAAGACCCCAGGATGACAAAATGTGAAACAATGCATCAGAGTAAACAAAACCGACCTGATTCATAATTAAACAACTATGGCAGGTGCTTGTTAGCTTGCATATAGATATGAAAGAAATATGCTTTGTAAATAATTTCGCAAAGAAAGGATGGAATTCAAACAACACTTTGTTTAAATTCTAGGAAGTTGATATTTACACTAAACTTCCCTATATTGATAATACTAGTATCTGTACCCCTCTTGCTGAAACCTATTATTTAAATTTTACTCCACATTTTGTATACGCCTGTCCTAAGCCAGGAGTCTGTAATCCAGTTGATGTCGTTGGTTGCAGTCTGAAAAAAAATGTTTTTCGTGTTGGTTGTTTTACCGTTTTAAAGCTGATCCTCGGGTTTCTCTTTTGGATTTTTCACATTTTGCCACACGGGGTCTTTTACAGCTGACTCGGTTTGGGTTTTGCTCATTGTTGAAGACCGCACACTGATCTTTATTTTTTCATATCATTGTACTGTGGTCTCTGGTTGATAGCTGTCTCGTCGGAGTTATACTTCATCTGTTTATTTAAAAGTTAATTGTAATCGAAAATGCCACTGCAAACAAGTGCACATTTAAATAACAGACACGTATATAAAACTCTATAAAAAGAAAAACTCAACAGACACCACTATCAAGCAAAGGAACATTAACAATAGGAAAGAATAAGACGTCTATTTTGTCATTAATTTCATAAAGGGGATTACCATTAAATTTAGTAATATCAAAAAGGATGTTGATACTTAACACCCCAAAAATCACAATAAACAAGAAGACATTTTTATTGTTGTCCTTGAACTCTTATAATTGCATGATAATTTAAAGGAGTAGGGCATTAAGGCCCGGTTTTGGCCCAAGAAAATAAAATATTAGACAACTATTTCAAATTTGCACATAATAAAATTGATAATGGAAATGGGGAATGTGTCAAAGAGACAAAAACCCGACCAAAGAGCAGAAAACATCCCAATGCCACCAATGAGTCTTCAACACAGCGAGAAAATCCCGCATCCGGAGGCAGGCTTCAGCTAGCCCCTAAATAAAAATGTGTACAGTTTAGTGACCCCCCCCCCCCTTTAGTTAATGTTGGGAAATGCATAGAGTAAAGAAATATAATTGGAAAACATAAGATTTTTTATCCGATGACGTCACATTTACGTCATATGTACCGTTTTCATAAAAACGATGAAAAATACAGAATTTATGCAGTTTTCCATCATTATTTCCATTGTAGAAACATCGTGCGCAGACAAGAAACAACAAAATAATTTAAGAGAAGCTTTATTATAACTATGGACATTATCTCACCAAATAAAAAGTTGTTTCTTGTGTGTGCACATACTTTACCAATCTAAAATATACTTAAAATTTGACGAAATACAAGGAAAATCAAGAAATTTTACAAAGTACTGTATACAAATTTCGTCATGGTTTGTTGCCATGGTAACTCGTTAAATGTAAAATTTGTTTTTATTTTTTGAATACCTTGTACCTTAGTCTAGTTAGGAAAAATTGAAGAATATGTATAACTTTTAAATTTGCAGTAATATTTGGGCCATATAAGGGCCTTACTGCCCTTACTCCTTTTATTGTAAACTGAAGAGAGTGAAGAGTGTGACTTTCCTAATAAAATTGAGAATGGAAATGGGGAATATGTCAAAGAGACAACAACCCGACCAAAGAGCAGACAACAGCCGAGTGCCACCAATGGGTCTTCAACGCAGCGAGAAAATCCCGCACCCGGAGGTGGTCCTCAGCTGGCCCCTTAATAAAATTGTGTACTAGTTCAGTGAAAATGGACGTCACACTAACCCCCAAAACATAAATGAACTAAAATTAAAAACCATACAAGACTAACAAAGGCCAGAGGCTCCTGACTTGGGACTGGCGCAAAAATGCGGCGGGATTAAACATGTTTTGTGAGATCTCAACCTTCCCCCTATATCTCTAGCCAATGTAGAATAAACAAACACACAGCAAAACGCACAGTAAATTTCAGTTTAAAAGAAGTCCAAGTCCGATGTCAGAATAGGTAACAAAACAAACTAAGCAAAATGACAATGATACATAAATTAACAAAGGACTACTAGTAGTTACTGATATGCCAGCTCCAGATCTCAAATAAACTGATTGAAAGATATGTCTTCATCATATGAAAATCAAGTACAATCTCTCCCGTTAGGGGGTTAGTATCATACCATCATAAAATATATGAGAAGAACATAACCCGTATCATGCCAACAACTGGTTTTAGAATAAATGTGTTTATTTCCGATGCAAAGACCCTATATGAGTGAATCAATATTAATATCAAAATATGCAATCCTTAATGACTTGACAACAGTATCGTAACTATATCCTTTCCGAATAAGTCTGTTTAAAGGTTTGGTTAGCTTTTGAGGTGAATGCCCACATTTTTGTGCTTTGTAAAGAATATTACCATAAAATATTGGATGTGAAATACCTGAACGTATAAGATGTTGGTTTGACGTATTTAAATATCAATATTAAAATTTACCAAACTATATATTGATTGATTGTTGGTGTTTAACGCCACTATCAGCACTATTGACTATCCCGTGACGACCGCTTTTTTTGGGGGTGGGGGGGGGGATGGGGGGAAACCAGAGTATTCGGAGAGAAGCACTCGCCAAAACTGGCAATCCTATTCATTTCAGATCGGAGTCGAACGCTCCTGCCACGTGTTGGGTTGGAACTCACAACCCCAGTGTTGACAGCTTGACTAGTGATTGCTGTAGATAAACTACTAATACCACTCGGTCACTGAGCCCCCCCCCCCCCCCCCTGCAACACTATAACGAAGCAACAAAAGGCAATAGATACAGATATTTGAATACAATTAACATCTTTAAAAAAAAAACTATAATCATTAAGAAGAGCACACGACATTACCAAGATCAACACTACAGTAAATGAAATTCTTTTTAACAAACGGTTAGTCAGTGTTCCCTATAAAATATACACAATGCACAATATGGACTTTTAATTTTGACAGCATGTAATTTATGATTAACAGAACAGACAATCATTGAACTATAAACTTAAGTAAGTAGTGATATTCAATATATTTCCTTGGTGATTTTGAGGTAAAAGACTACTCATCAAATTCACTGATGAGCAGACAATACCATGAAGTAGGATGGATCATCGATGTAGAAATGTTTCGAACTATGATACAAATGTAGTATATTATCTTCCAGGAAAGTTCCTGATAACCATAAAACCATATATAAAAAAATAAAAATAATTGCGAAATATCACCCCATAAATAACCCATACTTTGTAGTGAAAAAAGTCGATAATCTCATTAAAAAGAATTGTTTCTAAATAACTTTCATTAAACAACTTTTGCGTAAAACTTTTTAGACATTTCAATAGAAGTTTTGTAGTCGTATAATGGTTTGTATCCCAGTAATGTTTTGGCTTTATCGTATGTGACGTAACACGTGGTGTTCAGAAACGATATACTTCCGGTTGTGAATCCTAAATTTACTAAATCCACAGGTGTAATAAATCGTATGACATAAAATACACAATAAACAATAAACACAAATGACATTATTAACCAGTACGGTATATGCCATGATGTCGTTTTGACATTAAACTGTTCAAAGAAAGGTCGGATGGTTTCCGGGAATACGTTTGGTGGCGTATCGTCTGCTGCAAAGAAGTATTCGCCTCCTACTTCTGGATTCCGTTGAATACCTTCCATTGCTTTAATAAACATATAAGCACAGTTACCAGCATAACTGTAATGTACACGTGCTGTCATTGGTCCAATCAGAGTGTACGTTTTATCTTTGAAAGGTTGAACACTTGGTGTAATATTGTGGTAGTCCAGTTCGCCATATAGTGGTAGTGGGAGAATTGCTAATGTTCTTAGAGACTTTCCTATATAAATAAACAAACTTATGATTTACTACTTAATAATCAAATTAAATATTTGCTGATACTGTCGTAAACTAGTATCAAAACTTTTACAGACGTTAAGCTGTTATTGTATTACAGTGTTTCAAGTAATAATTACACAAAATTATGATTCAAAATTGAACTTCATAATTTTCAAAACTTGGTTTTGACTGAGACAGCTTCTAACACCTTAACAAATCTTTGAATATGTTAAGAAATATGAATTACATGTATAAATTATTTCATAATATTATATTTTGTATTGTGTTTAAAGGGGCTATATAAAAAATCTAAAGTATGATTTTTTTGTTCAATCATTAATGAAAGTGAAATAATGAAATAATAATTCGCTTTTAGCAGCCAGTATGGTTCAATTTTGTCAAATTAAGCTAAGAAACATGGATGATGAATTATTCACTTGCAAGTGAATAATTCGACCTCATTGAATCCGTATTCATGTGAACTTCAATGTAACCCCTTAACTAAAGATGGATAACGCATGCATTGTGCGTGTTCGGTTATTTAAAGGAAAAGAATGTCAACATTGAAAGTGAAACAAAGGTAAATCATTTGATTGACTGATTCAATCCACAAAAATCATTCTTATACAGGTAAAAACGATGATTAACATATATTTTTAATCTTTAATAAGAAATTAAACAGACCTAGAAAAATCCAATTGCACGAGTTTCGCTTTCTATTTATATCTATATTTATGTTTATATCGCTTATATGACCATCGGAGGTCTTCGGAGGTCAACTCGATAGTTAATTAGATGGCGTCAAGACTAAAATACACACGAAACGAAGCTACATATTATCGAGCCCATGCCCTGTAAATTGTTTATTTTAGACTTTTTATAATTTGTATAAATGTTTTACATGGTTATAAATCAAATATGAGAATATGAGTCAAATCGGTGAACATGAATTTGACAGCTAGTGCCCCTTAAAGCACAGCGAGTATGATAACATACTTACAATACACTGTAGTCGACTGGTGATTGAAAATCTTTAGCTGACCAACAGAATACTGCGGGTAGTGCGTTTTATGAAAACAATGTATACTTTAATTTATTATTACTGATATGTTGACGTATGTTTTGGTGTATTTCACGAAACACTTTTATTAGAAACTATAACATTGGCTTAAATTTCATTTCTAAAACCAAGGTTCCACCAACTTGATGTATTCAGATTACGTCGGACGTTTGGTTTAAATTTTATATTCCCAAACGTATTTAATGTATTCATTTAGCCTCCAAGTTATTTTGCCATAAATGTAGTACGCTTACTGAAGTTTGTAGCGATTATGTACAGCAATATACAGTTGTGTTTAATGATAATAATGTAAATTCGTAATTTGAAGGAAACAAGAATCGTTAACTTCCAAATTTGGTACCAAAGTTTGGTAATCAAAATGATAATTTTACTCTGTTTAAGGTATAAGTTTGTTTTAAATGAGTAAATCGTCGACTGGATGCTACACACTACATGTACATGTATGAATTACCATTTTTTAGTGTACTTCCATTTGCTCCTAACACCATTCTCTGAGCTTTTAACTTTGTCTTAGCATATGCTCCAAAGTACAAGCTAGTCTGTGGTTGCACTGAAGTTTCAGTTCCCGCCTTTATTTCCCGTGGACCATAGAATATGCTAAGAGAACTACAGTAGATTAAGTATGGTACATTTTTATCCTTGCATGCCTTCAGAATAGTTTCCGTTCCTTCAAATGAAATGTGTAAATTAGATATGTTATGTTTTAATGATATTACTATTTGACTGCATTTTATCATAGAGCTACATCTATGTAATTGACTTCCATTTTATACTGGCTGCTCATTGGCGCGGAGTCGGGACTTAAAATTAAAATATAATGGACATCCGGTAATTAACAAATAGTCTAAGAATAATTGTACTAATAACACAAATTTTCGGCCATAACGAAATTGCTTACAGTTTAAAAAGATGTTTGCTAATATACATGTATCTCTCTCTTCTAAAGATTAACGGACTTCAACTGCATTATTGACGGTTACAGAACAATCCCGGGTCCACGTGTATCATCCATTTATACGGCTAGGATAATTATGTGCAGTCATGTAGTTTCCTTTTAACATATTAACAATTATACATGAACAATGGGATATTAAGCCGGTTGAATCTGAAAACTAGTTTGAACAGGAAGCTTGTCAGAATTTTGTTTTATTTTCACGGGAAAATGAGGACACATTGAGTACTAGTTGATAATATTTGCTTTCGTTTTACACATGCCACCAATTTCACACCAGAAGGTCATATTTATCTATTAATTATTATTTTTTTACGATTTCCATTGAGATAATAGTATTACAATGTTCAGACAGATTTTGACTTTCAGTTATATAAACCATTTGCCATGTAAAGCTTCCGATGTGATAATTTTAACTTGACCATTTCTTCTTGATCGTCCAGTAGTTTAAAACAACGGGAAGTAAGTTTTTTTTTTAACTTTAACTTTAGATTAAAGTTCTGAATTGTTAAGAAAAGAATATAATTGTAATTGTAAACTGCAATATTTTTTCATTAGATTTCTATCAAAATAAGGTTTTAATTTATATTTTTACACATTTTCTACGTTAAAATTGTGGTACGTCTTAAGTTTTTTCTATTTGCCATTACCTGTGACATTTACCTCGTGTAAAGTCTTATGATTAGGGAATAACCTCCAGTCTATCAGTGATGCAATATGAAGAACAACATCCACGCCATCACATGCTTTATTGACCATTGATTGGTCGGTTATACTTCCAACATACGTTTTCATTGGTTTCCTTATTTCAAAATCTGAAATTTCAGACAGGCATCAATTAGCCAATTTAGAGCAAGTTGAAACGATACTGAGATGTTCTGTTTGTTTTTCTGTATTCAAAATCTGTACAGTTTGTTCTCCGCATTGCAACAGACGGTGTTCTCCTGACAGTTTGTGATATTGTTGTATGAAATTAAATGTGAAGTACATGCACTGATATTACAATTTATGGCGGCATGATTTTATATAGATTTTGTATAGACAACGTCGCTTGCTAAAGTGTGACGTCCATTTGGCTGTGCGGGATGTATAAATACGCAGACACGTACTTTCGTTCGTAATGGAGACGTTTAATCTGACGTTTCATCTAGGTTGATCACCACGCTCACTGCACGTTAAAGAACATTTGTAACAACTCTATGAGTGGTCCGTCGGTGGCCTGTTATGGGGCAAATTTATGTTCCCATCCAACATACCTTAACTTCAGTGAAAGATTTCCCCCGGTACCATTAACCCGGTATAAATACTTCGCAGAACCTACCTATCCTGTATGTAATTGGGTTGCTGTCTCCTATCCCTACCCTGTATTGGCCACCTATGTCAGATGAACTCACTGACGTATACCCCACATCTCCTGTTAATCATAAAATTCTGTTGAAAATCGAGGGAAACAAGAATTTTATATTTTTCAGGAGTAAATCGTATGTTGTTCATTTCAAATTGAATATAATTCATTTATAATCAAAATATTAAAAGGGAGCTCGAGGCAATACTCATGCTTCACATATTCGCGTATATCTGTATGTATTCACCTGTTAAGAAATTATAAAAACATTTAAATCAAATTAGGTTTGCGTGATATGATGACTTTCTTTAACTTTATCAAAAGAGAACAATGTTAAGATAAACCACAAACAAACTTTCATTGTTCACGTGACATACGTCAAAGGAATTTATTGTAAGGCCATACCTAATTTCTGTTCGTATTTCACAACATCTAAAATACGAATTTCTTTTACATCAGTTCCCAGAAGGTGTAAATGTTTGATAACATGTTGTCCTAAACATCCGCTTCCACCAGTAACCAAGACAACACCGCTAGCCATCTTTTTCTAGCTTCCTGTTTCACATATTAAAGATTGGGAAATCTTAAAACATTTTTCTGTCTAAAACATGAACTAACATGAATCATAAGCACATAATGTTGAAATGACTGTTTTCTAACTTCAATGGCCATCTTTGTATTCAGAATTTTTCTTGCATTTTAATAAAATAATAGAAAGTAGTAGTCTCATTCACGTATTTTCCAAATTGTAATATAATTGTCTTTTTTAATTCTATAAATAATCTGTACAACCATGGTGCTAGTTTATAACACGCGGTCGAACAACATATATATATAAATCAGGAAGTTAAAAAATATTTCACATTCTTACCTTTGCTATGATATTTAAGTAGCTAAGTACTATTGTAAACTAGTGAACTAGACAAGTTATAACCTCCGTGACCTTGTGTTATCACACTTATCACGCATTGATACTATTTAAATCATAAATGATTAAAGTCCCGCTAATAATCTATACAAAGTGCGATACGATTAAACTATTTTCTATAATCATTAATTTTGCAACTTAGTATATAACTATGGTTATTAATAACATTAATTTTGTGAATTTATTTACGAGGTTCATTTTTGTTTTTTGTTTTCTTTTGTATGTGTGTGTTCTTTTTTCAATTTTAAACATATTTTATTAATAATCACTTGTTACATAAACCCTAAGTTGTCCTTGGAAGCAACTAAGGGGTCCCCGCATTATTAGAGAGTCTCATTTGTTGGGGGAAATGCAAACGAGAAATGAAAACTACGAGGTTTCTTTTTATTATGTTAAAATGTATCAATAAATATCGTCTTTTCCTCTAAAGCCTGCAGTATTTGACAGTTAATTCGGAATGTCAAAATGTTTTGATTTCGATATTTATTCACCCATGAATATATATGTGAGCGATGAATTAATCCTGTAAAATGTTTCTGGGCGGACGCAAATTGCTAGTAATATAAATTCAGAGTAACATAATTTACCAGTAATTTTAGTCGGCAGATATATTTTCCTAGGCAAAAATGTCAATGTACCCAATTTTACTAGAAACATTCCGCTTGTTCTGAAAGACAATTGGATATGACTATATGGCGGTCGGGGTTAACTAAGTACTTATTGTTTATGTTTTTAGTGTACCATTGTTTTGTTAATACTTGTGCTTTTGTTATCTACTATATATTCCACTATTATTGAGTTACTTTTTTCTGGGCTAATTTTTATTTTGAGTTCCCTTTTGGTTGAGGTTTAAAGGGGGGGGGGGGGGGGGGGTTGAGGTTTCTTTTTATTTGTAAAGTTCGTGATCCTAAGTCTTTAGTTTTCTAGGTAGTGTTGTTTGTCTTTAGTCATTTTTCATTTTTTGCCGTAGTATTTTCGGCGTATAGTATTTTCGGTTTCTCTTCGACTTAATATTTTTTATTTTTTGCTGTAGTATTTTCGGTTTCTCTTCGACATAAGAATTTTCATTTTTTGCCGTAGTATTTTCGGCGTATAGTATTTTCGGTTTCTCTTCGACATAAGATTTTTCATTTTTTGCCGTAGTATTTTCGGCGTATAGCATTTTCGGTTTCTCTTCGACATAATATTTTTTATTTTTTGCTGTAGTATTTTCGGTTTCTCTTCGACATAAGAATTTTCATTTTTTTGCCGTAGTATTTTCGGCGTATAGTATTTTCGGTTTCTCTTCGACATAATATTTTTTATTTTTTGCTGTAGTATGTTCGGTTTCTCTTCGACATAAGAATTTTCATTTATTGTCGTAGTATTTTCGGCGTATAGTATTTTCGGTTTCTCTTCGACATAATATTTTTTATTTTTTGCTGTAGTATTTTCGGTTTCTCTTCGACATAAGAATTTTCATTTTTTGCCGTAGTATTTTCGGCGTATAGTATTTTCGGTTTCTCTTCGACATAATATTTTTTTATTTTTTGCTGTAGTATTTTCGGTTTCTCTACGACATAAGAATTTTCATTTTTTGCCGTAGTATTTTCAGCGTAGTACTTTCGGTTTCTCTTCGATATAATTTTTTTTTATTTTTTGCCGTAGTATTTGCGGTTTCTCTACGACATAAGATTTTCTATTTTTTGCCGTAGTATTTGCGGTTTCTCTTCGACATAAGATTTTCTATTTTTTGCCGTAGTATTTGCGGTTTCTCTTCGACATAAGATTTTCTATTTTTTGCCGTAGTATTTGCGGTTTCTCTACGACATACGATTTTTTATTTTTTGCTGTAGTATTTGCGGTTTCTCTTCGACATAAGATTTTCTATTTTTTGCCGTAGTATTTGCGGTTTCTCTACGACATAATATTTTCTATTTTTTGCCGTAGTATTTGCGGTTTCTCTTCGACATAAGATTTTCTATTTTTTGCCGTAGTATTTGCGGTTTCTCTTCGACATAAGATTTTCTATTTTTGCTGTAGTATTTGCGGTTTCTCTTCGACATAAGATTTTCTATTTTTTGCCGTAGTATTTGCGGTTTCTCTACGACATAAGATTTTCTATTTTTTGCCGTAGTATTTGCGGTTTCTCTTCGACATAAGATTTTCTATTTTTTGCCGTAGTATTTGCGGTTTCTCTTCGACATAAGATTTTCAATTTTTGCCGTAGTATTTGCGGTTTCTCTTCGACATAAGATTTTCTATTTTTTGCCGTAGTATTTGCGGTTTCTCTACGACATAAGATTTTCTATTTTTTGCCGTAGTATTTGCGGTTTCTCTTCGACATAAGATTTTCTATTTTTTGCCGTAGTATTTGCGGTTTCTCTTCGACATAAGATTTTCTATTTTTGCTGTAGTATTTGCGGTTTCTCTTCGACATAAGATTTTCTATTTTTTGCCGTAGCATTTGCGGTTTCTCTACGACATAAGATTTTCTATTTTTTGCCGTAGTATTTGCGGTTTCTCTTCGACATAAGATTTTCTATTTTTTGCCGTAGTATTTGCGGTTTCTCTTCGACATAAGATTTTCTATTTTTGCTGTAGTATTTGCGGTTTCTCTTCGACATAAGATTTTCTATTTTTTGCCGTAGTATTTGCGGTTTCTCTACGACATAAGATTTTCTATTTTTTGCCGTAGTATTTGCGGTTTCTCTTCGACATAAGATTTTCTATTTTTTGCCGTAGTATTTGCGGTTTCTCTTCGACATAAGATTTTTTATATTTTGCCGTAGTATTTGCGGTTTCTCTACGACATAAGATTTTCTATTTTTTGCCGTAGTATTTGCGGTTTCTCTTCGACATAAGATTTTCTATTTTTTGCCGTAGTATTTGCGGTTTCTCTTCGACATAAGATTTTCTATTTTTTGCCGTAGTATTTGCGGTTTCTCTACGACTTAAGATTTTCTATTTTTTGCCGTAGTATTTGCGGTTTCTCTACGACATAAGATTTTCTATTTTTTGCCGTAGTATTTGCGGTTTCTCTTCGACATAAGATTTTCTATTTTTTGCCGTAGTATTTGCGGTTTCTCTTCGACATAAGATTTTCTATTTTTTGCCGTAGTATTTGCGGTTTCTCTTCGACATAAGATTTTCTATTTTTTGCCGTAGTATTTGCGGTTTCTCTACGACATAAGATTTTCTATTTTTTGCCGTAGTATTTGCGGTTTCTCTTCGACATAAGATTTTCTATTTTTTGCCGTAGTATTTGCGGTTTCTCTTCGACATAAGATTTTCTATTTTTGCCGTAGTATTTGCGGTTTCTCTTCGACATAAGATTTTCTATTTTTTGCCGTAGTATTTGCGGTTTCTCTACGACATAAGATTTTCTATTTTTTGCCGTAGTATTTGCGGTTTCTCTACGACATAAGATTTTCTATTTTTTGCCGTAGTATTTGCGGTTTCTCTACGACATAAGATTTTCTATTTTTTGACGTAGTATTTGCTGTTTCTCTTCGACATAAGATTTTCTATTTTTTGCCGTAGTATTCGCGGTTTCTCTTCGACATAAGATTTTCTATTTTTTGTCGTAGTATTTTCGGTTTCTCTTAGACATAAGATTTTTTATTTTTTGCCGTAGTATTTTCGGTTTCTCTTCGACATAAGATTTTTCATATTTTTTGTATCTTCTGCCTATAATTTGAGATCAGAAAAAAAGTTTAACCCCGCAACAATTTTATGTGTGTCTGTCCCCAGTCAGGAATGTCCTTTGTCATTTTGATGGGTTTTGTTTTGGTCGGTGTACTAATAATTGAAATGCACATTTCGTAGAAAACATAAAGATATCCTCGTCATTTAAATTAATTGAGTGCTTTTTGAGATTATGAGAAATAAGTACGACATTTGTACTAAAATAATTAATGCATTTTTTTTTAATCCGAGTTTATCATTTTCATTTAAAATGTTACTTAGTAGCGAAATATATATTTTATTAATTTGCAAATTTCTAACAAAATATGCACAGGAGTTTGAATTAAAGATCCATACGTGTAAAATATTATCTCAAATGTAAACAAATATATTTAAAACATTATCACTATTTATAATTAATTTGATATATTTATACTGACTCTAAGTTAGACAGGTAATATGAACATTGATCGTCTGGTATAATGTTGAGATATAGATCCTGTTTGTAAGTAGTAGTTGCATCATAATATAATGTATACATTTTTTTATTAATTTAAAAATTCATACATTGAAGCTAGAACTGCTTGAAATATTTGTCTAGATGAAGATAAAGACTCAATTAAATCTCTGATTAATCAAAAGCATGAATGACAGTTAATCTAGACCAGGATTTAGAACAAAGCTTTGAATTTGATATAACTGTAACACACATTACTAAGTATATAATTGACATTGTGGTCATGCCAGATCGTCTATAGCAACGGGAGTGGGTAGGAGTTGGGTGTGTGTGTGTGGTGGGTGGGGTTAAGGGCTCTAAGTAGTCCATCTTCAGTGATTACTTGTCTGCCAACACTGCTGTTGTGATGTCGAAACCAGGTCTGGGCAAGGTACACTCGATTCCGATCTCAATTGACTAGTTTTTCCCAAATTTCCTGCCATAGGTCAGTTGTTCTTTCCTCGACAAATTGACCGCTATGAGATTAAGCCAGGAGTTTTGAAAGTGGTGTTAAACAGTAACCACCATAAATCAACCAATAACAACTGTTACAAATAATATAAGTTCTTTGGCTTTGCGTGTTATTAACTGATAACTTAGCTTTATTTACTTTTTTCTATACAGACCGAATTATGCAAGATGAGAAAATATGTTGTCTTGGTAACTGGAGGAAGTGGATTTCTAGGACAGCATGTAGTTAAACATTTACAGTTGTATGGTGATAGCGTCAAAGAAATAAGAGTTTTAGATAAGGTTACATATAAACAAAAGCTAGGTATTGGTTTATAATTAATATGTATAAATTTAAGTTCGTAAAATTATGTAAATGTTTAAAACTAAGGTTGCAATTACCTCAGACAAATGTGACCTTAGAACGATTCTGGCATTCTAACTTTCTTGATACCTCGGACACGTTTTATGTATTTGGCTTTCCAGGCTTTTGGTGGCAAGGGTACTTGCTGAAGGTTAATCCAGAAACGAACCTTGCAAGTTCTGAATTCATATCATACGTTATAAGCATAACTATATGAAAGAATACAGTCCGTGTAACGTAAAAGTTAACAATACGAACGATGCCCAAATCATGTACGGACGATGCCCGAACGATGTACGTACGCTTCCCGAACGGTGTACGAATGCAAACGAAACGCTGACCGAACGTTGTACGGACGCTGAACGAATGATGTACGAACGAAACCATATACCATAAACCATACCATAAACGATAACATAAGCGCCCTTTTATCGTACATCGTATGGTTTTGCGTACATCGTTTCATTAAGCGTATACCGTATCGTTTAGCGTATTAGCGTACATCGTTTCGTTTAGCGTATATCGTATCGTTTAGCGTACATCGTTTCTTGGCGTGCATAGTTTCGTTTAGCGTATATAGTTTTTTTTTTAAATATAAAACATGAATGGTGTTCTGTTATATCTTTTTATATAGGTGATAATAGGCGTAAAATTTAGATTGGATGCATGTTTCAGTTTTTGATTAATAATTTAATAAATTATAATTTGATCTGACTCGATGTTGATCCAAAATTATTTACATAAAAAGTTTGAAAAATAAACACTGAAATAAATTTGAACAAATTAAAAGATACGATTATGAATTTAGTTAGCCGTAGAAATGCGTACTTGGTGAATGTGCGAGTAAACTGCATTCTGCAGGGTATTCAGTCAACAATTTTTGAAAATAGTCTAAGGTATTAACATTTTTTTTTACCTAAATGAACAATTGATTTAAGATGGAATTCGAAATTAATCTTATGTTCTTACAAAAGGATATTCGGGGTCTTAAGGTTGACTTTTTGTCCAAAAGGTTTGTTAAATATTTTTATGTATTCTCTTTTATCGCATGTATTTTAAAATCGACTGAATAGCAGTTGTATCCATATATCGTAATTAAACCATTTTTTTTTTAGATTATAGATTTTTTTTATTCATCTATCAAATCAGTCGAAAAAAAACAAATATTCGAGAAATTTCAAATAAAAACAATTACTCGTTATGTGCCTCATCAACCCTAAACATAAATCCCTACCAATGTACATACGATTGTGTATTATTTTAACTATAAATGCACTTGACTTTAAACTATCATCAACAATTGTCCGGCAAATAAAATAGACCCTCTATTCTTTAATTGTGTTATACCTTTTTCCTCTGTTCTTTATTTTCCCCGTTATACTCTATTCTAATTTTATATTTTTTTTCTTTATTTTCCTGTATCTATACCTCCTTTATTCGGAGCAACCCCTCCCTAAATATACATATGATACACACGGTCTATAGGTCATCGCTTGTGCCGTGATACACATGTTTGCATAGCAAAGGATGTCCTTGTTCATATTGATAACATTTTAAATGTCCTCCTAATAATACATATAATAGTTGCCACTGGACATTAAACAGCTAACTCTAAATTCATCCGTCATATTCTTAGTTTTGTTATAATGTGTAAATCACACAACATGATGAACAAAAAATTATTGCAGATTTTCACTGCCGAAATAATAATAAGTAAACAAAACCACTCAATCACATCCCTACGCCACAAAGTCTAGCCTTTTCACATGTAAATTATTTTCATAAATCTATTTCAAAATAATTTTAAACAATTTTAAATTAAACGGTCATTTTTCTTATTTGCCAAAAAAAAAAAAAACAACACCAACCAGTTATTTTCATTTCTTATTTTAAACAGATCGATTGTTTTCAATGGTCGGTGCCTGACAGCATCTATAAAATCTATCACCATGTTTGCCAATAAGAAAGCTACATAGAACAGGAAAACAACAATGTCTTAGAAATACTTCCACGCCCTATTTTCCAATTTCTGTTGTAATGTGGTTTAATGCAAAAAAAGGTAACTCCTGAATACTGATTTGTACCCATCAAGCATTTGGGGTTAATAACAAATCTATGGTAGTCTCTTTTTCTTTACTCGCAAAGTATTCGACTAAATCATGTTTTATTTATGAAAATTGTTCATTGCTGACGAATGTTAAATATTGATCCCTAGATTTTCAATTGTTTACTGGTTAGGTTACTGTCTGATTTCGCAAACCTGACATTTTATGGTCATTATTTGTTGCATCCAATTGCACCAATTTATTTAAAAGATATTAACGCGACACCGTACGAGAGTCGTTACTTTACATAAACTACTAGTATTTTTTTTTCTATAACGAAATACGAAACCACTTCTCGCAATTCGCTTTGGGGTAATTGTGCTTCTCTTTTGACAAAAAATCTAAATTTCAGAAATTGTTGTTGAGATTGTTTCATAAAATATCTATTGAACATTTTTACTGATATTGAACTGAAATATTTTACGTTTTTATTTACCGTTATAACTTTGATAACCATTTCAATGCAAAATATATGTGAACAGAACGTGTATATTGTTTTGTAAAGTCATTGTTTATTTCTCGATTTGAGGAGAATTCGTTTGAACTTTACCTTGCAGCAATTTATCCTCAGGCGTACACAGGTGTGAATTCAAGCGTACACAGGTGTGTATGTTGTCATTTTGAATGGATTAACAGAAAGAGTATAGCGTGTTTAATACACCAAGATAAAATATCCGATGACAATAGAGAAACAATAATTAAATTGTTTAAATTAATTGAAAATAAACATTCAATCTTTGTCAATTCCGGAATTGTATACAATATTACAGTGGAACAATTTTCGATTACGTTCTATGCAATTTGCATAAAATTAAAATATGAAGTTAAAAGAATAGTACTTTTAATCTTAAGAATTAAATGTTTCATTTCCCATGCAATTAATAATAATTGCACATCTGTTTAATTTACTTTACCGGAATTCTTTAACTTGTATTTAAAACTGGCGATGTTAAAATGCTAACAATCGTAAAACTATCTTTATTTTTAAGTTTTTAATTGAAAAAAAAAAATACAACAGTACAACATGCGTGATTTTTTAAATTTTCTTTTTAACATTTCATTCTTTCATAATCAAATTAATCTGCCAATCACTTAAACGAATTATTTGTAAAAAATATCGTTTATTTCATTAATGGATATACATACATTATAAATCTAAGCTAATACATTATTTTGCTTGAGGATTTTTTTTTAACAAGTTTTTTTTTTATATTCTATGATAATTTTGTGCAATGCTGAACAGGATAGCCGTCATTAATCCAAATTAGTTATACTGTAGTTGTAATAAAAGGCATATCTTAGTAATGATATTGACGATTTTAGAACAGTTCGTCCCAACCTCGTTGTTCTTGAAACAATCTTTACTAGTAGACTTGTAAGTTTCCTGACGTATTAGCGCCATTGAGGATGAGCGCCAAAGGTTCTTTCTAACAGACAAAGCAGACTAGTAGCGTTTCGTTAGTTTGTTTTTGGGGCAGTAGAGCCCAACCACTGGTACAGATAAACAGAATCACCATACAAGCTTATGTTGTCAACACTATCAGAAAAGGATTCCCATCGTCGGATGGGGTATATGAAGGCCAAGAATGTACAAGTGACATGTCTGACTCTGAACAGCTAGTAAACCGACTTAACAATGATCTATAGAAATCGACCGCTTGTTCTTGATATTTGAAACTGCATGCGTATATATACGTTTATGAGAGTGATTATTTATCTTGTGTCTGACGAAAACTAAATGCCTGCATGGTTAAATCTTGCCATTTCGTGATGGTTTGATGGGTGTCACTCAAAATCGTAATTCAAAAATTGTGTTTGTGAGATGTAGATTCACTTTAATAACGAATTTCGTCTATATATTTCACAAGTGTATACCACGGAGAAGCTCTAAAGGTATATTACTCCCATTTTGTTTAGATGTGAACCATCGATGTTTACAGCAATATTTAATGAATAAGATGATGATGATGGTAGAAAGAAATATGAGTGTCATGTGGCAAATATTACATGAATGTCGGATCGTGAGTTATCTATCTGTATGAAAAGATTTCCAATACAACCATATTGAGTAGGAATTTTTACATGCTATACTCGAGTCGTACTAGTATTACAGGCTTCTCATGTCGTTTGAATCAGACTGACACATCTTTTACTTTAAGATGTATGAAAGGTTCTATATATATATTAAATGTAACAATGATCAAACGCCTGCAGGCAATAACTAAACGGGTATGAAGTTTTTATACAGATTTATTCTTATTTACATAATCATTAACAAACTAAATAAATTGAACAAAGAAACACAGTGACACTACGATATAACGAATGGGATACTTATTTATTTTTAACCAAGCTATGCATCAAGTTATCGAACGTGAATACCAATTTGGAACACGATGTGTGATTTTGTATAACTAAAAATGTCAAACGAGCAGTAACTTTGTCTTGCAAACATTTTTTTTTACTATGCCTCTCTTTATCTCTTTTCCCTTACAATTACTATTACCCTTTTCGTCGATAATTCTCCATATAGTATATTGTTCTCTATTCGGTTATCTTTTTTCACGATGCCACTCTATCTCCGCTCCTTTACAATGACTATTTCCACTGTCGTTCTAATCCTTATAAAGATAGGGACATTGGACATAGAAGGAGCTCTCTTATCTTTAATAAATAAATATTGATACTGACTATAAGTGCTGCATTACTTTACATCTGCATGTTTGCCAATCGTCAAAAGCTTGCATTTGCGTGAAGAATTTTTTTTTTAAAAGAAGGGTCCAGAATCATGACAAAACAGTATTTATTTCACAAAAAATAAGGTCATGTTTATAAAATTTTAAAACTTATTATCAGCAAAAATAGTGGATAATATTATTATCAGAACATCATTCATTAACAGGTGGAATTATAATTTCAAACACGCACAAGATAAACAACGTCGAACACAAATATATGTGGTTCAATAAATGTTACCTGTGCACGCCGGGTACCCCAATACAGAAGCCATGCATGAACCTGTATTATATAATTGTGTAATACGAATTTTTAGTCGACAGGATGTCACTGGAGTACACAAGGACGTGTATCTAATATAGTATACGTCCTTGGGATAACTAACGGAATGTGTCGCTCTGACACGACATCTATCAATAATTCTGACATACCTATTATCAATTCGGGAGGAGGCCAAAATATATATATATATATATAAACTCCATTTCCCGGTTGCTACAAACAATGTGGTCGAAGGAACTGCTTGTGTTGTAAAGCTGCCAATACAAGCAGTTCTTTCATCAGCTCCGTTACTAAACAAAATTATACCATCTACTCAAATTCCAACTGTAAAACGGAGAACTCAATTTATATATTAACATGTGACACTTGTGGCATTCAGTATGTGGGAGAAACAATGGACAAATTTAATATTCGGCTCAATAACCATCGTTCATGGTACAAAACCAACAAAAACTGTCCTCTCACTAGACATCTTCGTTCAACGAAACATTCTTTTGATAATGTTACTTTCCAAATCATAGAAGTCAACACCGAGTGGGACACCACGGCGAGAAGGAGAAGAGAAAATTTTTGGATCCACCAACTTCACACTTTAGAACCTGATGGTCTTAACGAAAAAGATAAGAAAAGATACAGGAAAGATAAAGAATAATTTAGTACACAGCATCGTCCTTTTTATCCTGTAATATTGGCCAATGGACGTTGCTAACTTCAACTACCAATTTTGTAAAAATCTTGAACTTCATCCAAATTATGTATTATTTTCAAGGCAGCTAAATTCAAGTGCAACATATACATTGAGCTGCAAAAGTTTCTTATCATCTACATCCGATTTCACCTGGATAGATGCACGCTTGATAAAGCTAGTTAGTCTAGCGAAATATTGCGTTTATTTTCATCATTTTGTAAATATTTTAAACATTCTTATATTTACATACTAAATAGTGTGTTAAAATTACATTGTTAGGCAATCTATATATATATATATATATATATATATATATATATATATAATAAGATAACGTAAATAAGATTTAAAAAGGAAAAAAAACTATACATTTGTTACCATACATACCAGATAGGGTCACACATTTAACTGTAAAGTGTCTTTATAAGTGACTGTTCCGAATTGATCCTGTATCAATTTGATAAAGTTAAAAGATTAGTTAAAAAACACTTTTAATAAAAAATTGAGATGTCCAATTTTTCGATGTTTACATTTCTATAACCTGGGAATATTATACTATATCAACATATTTTGTCTTTTCTAAAACCGGTACGTCTAAACACCGCTCAGGACCTCCTGAGTGCACTCAGGACATATAAAGTGCACTCAGGACATGAAATAGTTGTTTCAGTGAGTAGTGAACGTATGCATTCGATAGATAATTTAATTCTCCATCTTATAATTTTTGTTTTGATAAATTAAGAAGTTTTCATTGGCACGCGCCGATTTTATGAAATATGTCAGGCATGACCGATAATTATATTGAATATCAATTATTATGTTGATTAGGTCGTTTGATCTTTAATAATTAGGAGTGATTAGTAATGGTACTTACCTCATACAAGTAAGCTTGGCAAACAAACAAAACCAAGATGTCTTTGGAAAAATAAAGAACAATGAAGATATATTGTTTTAGAAAAAAATGTTAAATAAACTTTTCGTTTTGTTTGTAATAATTGAAGCCATTTGAGAAATATGAGAAATCTACATATAGTTGGGAAATTAATCTTTATTCAATTCATTTCATTTGAAAACGTTCAAAAATATCGATATAAATTATTGCAAAATGTGGCGATTATTTCTAAACAATTTCATGTAGTAGTTTGGTTTTACATTGAGCTCGTTCTTGTCCAGTATTAAGATTCCTTGAGCAGTTTTAATGTAAAAGTAAATTCTGAAGAATGATTTGTTGTAAAACAGTGAAAAGAAAATGTCTAAATCTTATTTCTGAGTAATACGAATGTTTAACAAATCAGCATTTAGTAAGATTTTATTTCTCATTTAAATCGTTCTTGTCCATGCAGTAATACATGCCTAGAACGAATTTCAATGTGTAAATAAATTCTGAAAAAAAATGAATTAGTCTCCGTTTTCTGAAAATTATCATATTTGGGTATTATTTCTAAACATTTTGTAAGTAAGATTGTAGTATGATTCTAAACTAAATTAAATCAAATGATTTTTTTATTGTAAAACAAATGAAAAAAAATATTTAATTTTGTTTCTCAGTTCTTCCCATGTTTATTTTGTCAGTTTACTGTCCTAAATAAGTGCTATCGTATATTGAACTCTCGCCATTTATCCTATTTTGGTTTTTTACTGTAAAAAAAATTATGAACATTTCGGTCCGTACAGAAAACATGATGTATCATTTCAATGTTGGTTTTCGAAAACAAAAGAACAGCGAGAAAGACTATTTCGGAGACTGTTGATTGACACGAAATCCGTTCAAACCACGACTAAGTCTTCGTGCACATATTATGAAGTGCCAAAACCCCAGAAACTTGCTCGTAAGCCAAACCAAAGAAAAAGACCAAGGACAGCATGTACGCAGCCAAGATATTAGACTTAGCAAATCAAATAAATAAATTCATCTAAATATTGTCATTGTAAATATTGTACATAATTGTCTTCTCTGTACCTATGTATATGGTTTATTGAGAATAAAGATATACAAATTCAATAAAATTTGATATTCAGTAAACATTATTTTTGTTTATTAAGTTGATTTGGAGAGAGGGAAAAAAATCCCAAAGAAAAATTTAACTACATTAAACAATCCCTAAAAACTTAAAACATCGTGTTATTAATTTTAAACGTAACACTGTACTCACAACACAATTCATAAACAACAATACAGATAATCCAATCAATTTTGTTGATTGAATAATTCACGCCTCAGTAGTTGTGTAATCAGTGACACGTGCCCTCATTATTTTATAAGAATTGACATATCTATCTAAGTTCGATTTCAAATTCTACCAAAATTTAACTCTTAAATAAGTAGCATGTAAAGAATATATACAGCCATCCTGTGTGCAAATACGATGCCTATAAAGGGTCCTGAGTGCACTTTGTATGTCCTGAGTGCACTCAGGACGTCCTGAGCAGTGTTTAGACGTACCCTTCTAAAACCTCTTCCTAACATTGCTCCTTGTCAATAGCCGTTAAATATCATAATTAAAAAAAGTTATTTATCGTATAACTTTATTAATTTGAAAATTATCTTGTCTAAATACGGAACTATTCTTTATATAAATCAATGCACTTTATATAAAAGAGGCATACTAAAGAATCTTTTGTAAATCAGTGATTGTTACAAGAATACTGCATTTTTCTTACTTATAATTGAAACTTTTCTTCCTCATCAAATCTATTTTTTTTTAATCAACGAGATCTTATCATATAAGGATTTGATAACTATTATAACTATCAGAACTGCTAGGTTATTATGTTATTAAAAAAGGATAATTACCACCAAATCTCCCTCGAAACAAGATTTTCAAAATGGTCTTCATACATCAACTTGTGCTTGCTATAGATGTAACTATTTGCTGTTAGTTTAAGGTTGTACAAACATGTCTGATACAATTCTTTCTTTTTTTTTGTGGATTTGGGAAAACTATTTAGACTTTTGTCATAACCTTGTCGGACAGAACAGCCGTACGCTAGACAAGACATTTTCACACTGAATGATCGTCTACGGTAATCCCCGATTGATGATGGGAGTTTTTAACGCACGGTAAATAAATCCCTGATTCATTTTGGTCTTTGATGTTTTTAGATATCACGTGACTTTTTAGATCGAACATGCCGACAAGATGGCGATATGTCGAGAACTGATAGTGAATTTCAAAAATCGATTTTGATCTCTTTTCATAGAGAATAAAAGTTTTGTTATTTATGAACATGTGGTTTTTTATACTTAAAGAACAAAATATCAATTTTTCATTTTTTCGCGGAGTTTCCCTTGAAGAGTTGGGAAGTAGGAATTCCGAGTTTTAATTGAATGTTCTAAATCTTTGTGTATTTCTGATATATGATAGTACAGACTCAAAAATGTCTTTGTTTTGCTGAAATGAAAGGTCACCGTTACCAGCCAATAGAAGCAAAATGGGTATAGAAGATCTTTCTAATTTTGAAAACAATATTTCTCTTGCTTCGTTGATAAAAGGGCACTTAAAAAATAATGAATACTACCCTCAACAGGATGACCATAGCTGGCGGCCATGCCGGATTGGGTTTAATATTAATAAGGTTTAAATCTGCATTTGAAGAACTGCACCATATTTCTCAACTGTATATCAATGATATTAAGATTTCTATCACCACAACTAAACTAGGAAGTGCGTACTGTGAATAAATTATTATACTCAGTTTACTATTGTTTACAACAATTTATCACATATAATACCACGTTAACAATTAGGCCCGAGGACACATTTATTTCGTAGTGCATTTCTTTTAGACAATAAATTCAAAATAAAAAATCGCACCTGCTCTATCTCAAAAAGATTTTTACAGGGAAGTGTACTACTATTGGGACACATAATATCAAAATTATAGAAACTTCTACCAGCTCTAACTCAAAATATTAACAATTCTGTGATAAGGGGGTCTAAAATTCAGTTTGACAGCTTCAGACGTACAAATGTACTCTTGTTTACCTTTTTTAACTGGACCAAATCACTCCTTAACATAAAGATTCAGCACCCAAATTGTTTTAACATGTAATTTCATCCCCCTTCTTAATATTTCATGCATTAAATTTCAAGAAATTAACATGTAATTTCATCCCCCTTCTTAATATTTCATGCATTAAATTTCAAGAAATAAATTGGGAAAGTATATCCAAAAAAAAAATGCAAGTTAAGCACTGTTAACACTAGGAATTATATTCGTAGGGTGACGGTGTTTGAAAGTCTGATGGAGACAGCATCAAGGATTTAATAAGGCAAAGCTTTTGTTGTACTCAATCTTACTTAAAGTTTTCTTTATTATATTTAATAGATATATATATCCGAGATACGATAATGTAGTTTTCTTTTTTATATCAAACCTGATCACCTATGATATATATATGGAAGTTTTTAACAACCTTGACTGGCTATACAGCCCTTGCACGGTCGGTTCATCTATGATACAACAAATGGAAGTTTTTAACGACCTTGACTGGCTATACAGCCCTTGCACGGTCGGCCCTGGCTTGCGCCTTTTTGGGCATTAAATAATTTAATTTTACCATATGGTAATTGATATAATTTAGAATGACAAAAAAAATTATTAAAAAATAATATAAAGTAAAAATTTGAATAACTTAATGAATAAATAAATGGATGAATAAGTTAATAAATAAAGAAAACAAAAGAATATAAAAATAAATAAAATAAAATAATATAAAAATGAAATTTTCATATAAAACATAAAATAAAAAAAAAAAATAAAAAAAAAAAAAATATACGTAAAAATAAATAATTAATAAACACGGAGCCACCAGAAGTAGGAACAGGAGGAAAGCTAGGCCAAGCAAACAGCAGTGAACGGCAGCAACGTTGTCCTGGTACACCAGCAGCCAAGTAAAGAGCGGAAAATTTTGATATGCCAAATTGTGTATGTGAATTTATTTGCCAAATATTTTGTATAAACCGAAAGATGCCTAAATTTGTGTATGCGAGTTTTGCAAAAATAATTAGTAAGATGTTTTGTATGTACTATAAAAAAAAGAGAATTAAGTACAATAAAAATAAAATAAATAAAAAACCAAAGGGTGTATGTATAATTTTGACTGCTTTGTGCTAGTGCTACTTATATTGAGACTTAATAGTGCTAGTGCACTGGAACGCTGCCCGCTAATTAAAACTGGGTTAGCGCAAACCAGATCTTGCAAAGTACCATTTTTTAAGTCTTAGATTTGACTTGCGGCTTAATGATATGGAAAATTTATATAAGGACCAAAAGTAGACACAAAAATAATTTGGGTGCCGCGAATTTGGAAAAAAAACAAAGATTATCGCGAGTTACTGTTTAGTTAGCATAATTTCAATAGTTTAATTTACTTAGCACTACATATATTTTGACTAATTTTAAATATGTTTAATCATTTCAAACATTTATTAAATTATAAATTTATTTCGATTTTAATTCGTCTTGAAGAGCTTGCTGTACTGCCGGTTACAGCCTGACTCCATTTCTGAGTCACTGACCCGGATAACTCTTGCAGTGTAGTTCATCTTCTTAACGATGTTTTGTTGAGCCGTCTTGAAGAGCCTGCTGTACTGCCGGTTACGACCTGACTCCATTTCTGAGTCACTGACCCGGATAACTCTTGCAGTGCAGTTGGTCTTGTTACCGATGTGTTGTTAAGCCGTCTTGAAGAGTCTGCTGAACTGCCGGTTACGGCCTGACTCCATTTCTGAGTCACTGACCCGGATAACTCTTGCAGTGCAGTTGGTCTTGTTACCGATGTGTTGTTAAGCCGTCTTGAAGAGTCTGCTGAACTGCCGGTTACGGCCTGACTCCATTTCTGAGTCACTGACCCGGATAACTCTTGCAGTGTATTTTATTTATTTTATTTATATTACTTTTATTATTTTTAATACTTATATAAATTTGTGGTAATCAATTTCTGTTAAATATTGAACCAAGCACGACCAGACATATTGTTGTTTATCTTTAGGAGGATCTAGCAATATTTTGGTATTAACATTTTGTATTTGAACCTTATCCAAGTTTGATTGTAAATTTTGTCTGGCTTGTGAGTGATGAATACAGTTAACTAGTACGTGTTCTATATACTCTTTAATGCCGCATGTATTACATATTGGAGATACATTGCGTGATTTTTTAAATTTTCTTTTTAACATTTCATTCTTTCATAATCAAATTAATCTGCCAATCACTTAAACGAATTATTTGTAAAAAATATCGTTTATTTCATTAATGGATATACATACATTATAAATCTAAGCTAATACATTATTTTGCTTGAGGATTTTTTTTTAACAAGTTTTTTTTTTATATTCTATGATAATTTTGTGCAATGCTGAACAGGATAGCCGTCATTAATCCAAATTAGTTATACTGTAGTTGTAATAAAAGGCATATCTTAGTAATGATATTGACGATTTTAGAACAGTTCGTCCCAACCTCGTTGTTCTTGAAACAATCTTTACTAGTAGACTTGTAAGTTTCCTGACGTATTAGCGCCATTGAGGATGAGCGCCAAAGGTTCTTTCTAACAGACAAAGCAGACTAGTAGCGTTTCGTTAGTTTGTTTTTGGGGCAGTAGAGCCCAACCACTGGTACAGATAAACAGAATCACCATACAAGCTTATGTTGTCAACACTATCAGAAAAGGATTCCCATCGTCGGATGGGGTATATGAAGGCCAAGAATGTACAAGTGACATGTCTGACTCTGAACAGCTAGTAAACCGACTTAACAATGATCTATAGAAATCGACCGCTTGTTCTTGATATTTGAAACTGCATGCGTATATATACGTTTATGAGAGTGATTATTTATCTTGTGTCTGACGAAAACTAAATGCCTGCATGGTTAAATCTTGCCATTTCGTGATGGTTTGATGGGTGTCACTCAAAATCGTAATTCAAAAATTGTGTTTGTGAGATGTAGATTCACTTTAATAACGAATTTCGTCTATATATTTCACAAGTGTATACCACGGAGAAGCTCTAAAGGTATATTACTCCCATTTTGTTTAGATGTGAACCATCGATGTTTACAGCAATATTTAATGAATAAGATGATGATGATGGTAGAAAGAAATATGAGTGTCATGTGGCAAATATTACATGAATGTCGGATCGTGAGTTATCTATCTGTATGAAAAGATTTCCAATACAACCATATTGAGTAGGAATTTTTACATGCTATACTCGAGTCGTACTAGTATTACAGGCTTCTCATGTCGTTTGAATCAGACTGACACATCTTTTACTTTAAGATGTATGAAAGGTTCTATATATATATTAAATGTAACAATGATCAAACGCCTGCAGGCAATAACTAAACGGGTATGAAGTTTTTATACAGATTTATTCTTATTTACATAATCATTAACAAACTAAATAAATTGAACAAAGAAACACAGTGACACTACGATATAACGAATGGGATACTTATTTATTTTTAACCAAGCTATGCATCAAGTTATCGAACGTGAATACCAATTTGGAACACGATGTGTGATTTTGTATAACTAAAAATGTCAAACGAGCAGTAACTTTGTCTTGCAAACATTTTTTTTTACTATGCCTCTCTTTATCTCTTTTCCCTTACAATTACTATTACCCTTTTCGTCGATAATTCTCCATATAGTATATTGTTCTCTATTCGGTTATCTTTTTTCACGATGCCACTCTATCTCCGCTCCTTTACAATGACTATTTCCACTGTCGTTCTAATCCTTATAAAGATAGGGACATTGGACATAGAAGGAGCTCTCTTATCTTTAATAAATAAATATTGATACTGACTATAAGTGCTGCATTACTTTACATCTGCATGTTTGCCAATCGTCAAAAGCTTGCATTTGCGTGAAGAATTTTTTTTTTAAAAGAAGGGTCCAGAATCATGACAAAACAGTATTTATTTCACAAAAAATAAGGTCATGTTTATAAAATTTTAAAACTTATTATCAGCAAAAATAGTGGATAATATTATTATCAGAACATCATTCATTAACAGGTGGAATTATAATTTCAAACACGCACAAGATAAACAACGTCGAACACAAATATATGTGGTTCAATAAATGTTACCTGTGCACGCCGGGTACCCCAATACAGAAGCCATGCATGAACCTGTATTATATAATTGTGTAATACGAATTTTTAGTCGACAGGATGTCACTGGAGTACACAAGGACGTGTATCTAATATAGTATACGTCCTTGGGATAACTAACGGAATGTGTCGCTCTGACACGACATCTATCAATAATTCTGACATACCTATTATCAATTCGGGAGGAGGCCAAAATATATATATATATATATAAACTCCATTTCCCGGTTGCTACAAACAATGTGGTCGAAGGAACTGCTTGTGTTGTAAAGCTGCCAATACAAGCAGTTCTTTCATCAGCTCCGTTACTAAACAAAATTATACCATCTACTCAAATTCCAACTGTAAAACGGAGAACTCAATTTATATATTAACATGTGACACTTGTGGCATTCAGTATGTGGGAGAAACAATGGACAAATTTAATATTCGGCTCAATAACCATCGTTCATGGTACAAAACCAACAAAAACTGTCCTCTCACTAGACATCTTCGTTCAACGAAACATTCTTTTGATAATGTTACTTTCCAAATCATAGAAGTCAACACCGAGTGGGACACCACGGCGAGAAGGAGAAGAGAAAATTTTTGGATCCACCAACTTCACACTTTAGAACCTGATGGTCTTAACGAAAAAGATAAGAAAAGATACAGGAAAGATAAAGAATAATTAAGTACACAGCATCGTCCTTTTTATCCTGTAATATTGGCCAATGGACGTTGCTAACTTCAACTACCAATTTTGTAAAAATCTTGAACTTCATCCAAATTATGTATTATTTTCAAGGCAGCTAAATTCAAGTGCAACATATACATTGAGCTGCAAAAGTTTCTTATCATCTACATCCGATTTCACCTGGATAAATGCACGCTTGATAAAGCTAGTTAGTCTAGCGAAATATTGCGTTTATTTTCATCATTTTGTAAATATTTTAAACATTCTTATATTTACATACTAAATAGTGTGTTAAAATTACATTGTTAGGCAATCTATATATATATATATATATATATATAAAATGACTGAATAATAGCCAACGATAAATCTTACGGGGCGATGGATCATATAAATATGATACAGTACACTACAAAATATAATATATAACCAGTCTAAAAGGGTACAACATCACCAAAAAATGACAATAAACGAACAAATGTAACTATAAATATTTCGGATAACAGATATCCTTCATCAATATGAGCACGATGTAAAATGAATCAGATAAATCTATTCTGATTATTAAACTATAGCAATCTTGAATTCTATACAATAAAAAAAGTGAAACAGTTTCACCCGAACATCATATGTAGAGACGCTAATAAATTTTAAAATTTCCAAAAAACGACTCAAAGACATGCCTGAAATGAAAATAGTAATTATAGATATGAACTGGCACAACTTTAAAATTCCAAAATGACGTCAGTTAAGATGTTATAACAACTGCGTGTAAATACATTCCCAAAAGAACAGCACTGATCGATATAAGCTGGTAAAATATGACAAACAGAGGCTGCGTATTTATCATTCCAAATAAATAGCAGTTTTATAATGAAAAGAAAAAATAATAGTAAATTTGGGCTAAGGTTAAAAGTTGGACGTGGATGCGTACTTGTATATCCCTACCAAATGAAAAGAACCCTGGTATTTAAACTAGTAAAATTCCAAAAATTCCAAAAGAATCCTTAAAACTGTAAGAGTCAAGTAAGGAAGCCGGAGTAACTGGAAACAAATGATGTCAGGAAAATGAGTGATGGTAGGGAAAATGAGTGACTCATTCTATGTTTTTTCATTTATGCCCTCTGGGGAAACTGTCCTTAGCTTTCTTATCCAAAACCTTTCCCGAGCAAGTCTTTCGGCCCTTGACCAACCCTCGTTGTGGTCTATGATTGTGATTGTAAGGTTTTTGAGATCAGCTTGGGCGTGCCCAGGTGATCTCAAATGACGACTTACGGGGAGGTCGGGCTTGCAGGTGTAGTCACTTCGATGACCATTCATGCGTTTGTTGAAAGGCTGTTCTGTCTCGCCAATATACTGCATGCCACATCGACACTGAAGAAGGTATACAACATTCTGTGTTTTGCAAGTTACATTACAAAATATAGTGTACACAGACCCAGTGGAGTGGCAAGTAAATGTTTGAGTATTCAGTATTTGTTGGCAAGTCAGACATCGTCTGTTACCACACGACTTGCACCATCCTGCAGTTGAACAGCTTTTATTAGAGGAGACGTCAGCTCTCACAAATAAGTCTTTCAGACTTGCTGGTCTCCGAAAAGCTAAGACAGGAGGATTGGGAAAGATCTTGGATAATTTAGGGTGATTGGCAATAGTTTGCCAATTGGCACGGATCAAACGTGAAAGGTTAGTGAAGGCGGGATTGTATGTTAAAACAAACGGAACTATTTTGTTGCGCCTCTTCTGTTTGTACTGTAATAGGTCATTGCGGCTGTTGTTATTAGCACGCGCAAATCCCTTATCTATGTCCAATTTCTTATAACCTCGTTTGGTCAAAAAACCGCGAAGTTCCTGTAACCTTTTAGTGACAGCCTCCTCAGAGGAGCAAATCCGCTTTACTCTGAGAGCTTGACTGTACGGGATACTTTTTGTACAGTGTTTGGGGTGACAGCTTTGGGGAGAAAGGTACTGATGTTTATCTGTAGGTTTACAGTAGAGATCTGTTGATATGACACCGTCCTTAATAGATGTAGTAGTGTCTAAGAAAGATATTTTGGAGTCGGAAATTTCATATGTAAATTTAATTGACTGGTGTGCGTTGTTTGCATGTCTGATAAAATCATCCAATTTTTGTTGGGATTCAATCCATTTCATGTCAACATCATCGATGAAACGGAACCAGGACAGAGGTTTGGATAAAGATGTTGAAATAATTTGTTTCTCTAATTTTCCCATGAAAATATTGGCGTACGATGGTGCCATTTTCGTCCCCATCGCTGTCCCGTTTATCTGAAGGTAATTTTCACCATTAAAGGTAAAATTGTTGCATTTCAGAACCAGAGTGAGCAGCTGGACTAAACATTCGGTAGGTGGTTCTAAGGTGTTGCGAGAGTCCCATATTTCCTTACACGATTGTATTCCGTCATCATGAGGTATGTTGGTATACAATGAGGTGACATCTAAAGTGACAAGGAGGGTTTCCGGAGGAAGAGGGTTCATGGATTCCATTTTACGAAGATAATCTGTTGTGTCTTGAATGTGAGAAGGAAGATTTTCTACATGAGATCTTAAATGAAAGTCTACGAATTCCGAGATTTTCTCAGTCGGGTGGCCGTTTGCGGATACAATGGGTCTACCAGGGTTGTTAACCTTGTGTATTTTGGGAAGAAGATACAATCGACCAGGCTTGGCGTTCTCTGGTTTTAAATATCCGATTGTATCCTCATCTATGTGACCGTCATCGTGCATGGTTTGTAACGCAGTAATAATTTTGGAACTAAACTCGGAAGTAGGGTCATAGTCAAGCTTCTTATAAAATCTCTCATCAGAGAGCTGACGCTCTGCTTCCGCGATGTAGTTAGCTTTGTCCATTATCACAACGGCACTTCCCTTGTCTGCTGGTTTTATCACAATATCATCTCGGTTTCTCAGCGATTGTATGGCTTTTTTCTCGTCAGAAGAGGTGTTATAAAATGACGAGTACTTGTTGCTAGCTAGATGAACAACATCCGATTTGATTTTATCGATAACATCTTCCAGTGTAGCAGATTTACTAGGTTTAGGAATCCATGAACTCTTCTTTTTAAAATGCGGAATTCTGATTTCTTCCTCCGAGTCAGACGTGTCTGAGTCTTCCTCATTATCCTTGTTACCAAAATATTCTTTGATTCTGAGGGTTCTGGCAAAGTTATTAAGGTCATCTTCCAGTTTCATATTATCTATGTTACTGGGAGTAGGGCAAAAATTCAATCCCTTAGATAAGACTTTAATTTCGTCCTCAGTTAAAGAGACTGTTGATAAATTGACAACCGTGTTGTTGGAATTGACCGGAATTTGACTTTTTCTTCGAAATCTACGGTTGCGAGGCTTTTTATTTTTATTTGAATTTTTTGGAGATCTGATTAAAGGGTGATTAATTTGCACACCATCACGTTTAAATTTGTTAATCTGTTTGACGTGGAGCTTATGTGATTCAATACGTTTGATATCACCAAGACGTACTTGAATTTCGTCAAGTTCAAGATCAGACAATTGTTCACGAGATCGGCAGTGCAAGTTATCACGAAGTTTATATAAATAATTTACTTGATGAATTGCTTCTTGGCGTAAAAGATCCATCAGACTAAAAGAACTGTTGTATAGAATGTTATTCCATCTATGGAAAAATCTGTTTGACTTTTCTCCTGTTGTAAGTGGCGAAGCTTTTAAAA